AGCCAGCGAGGCTGGAGCTGCCACAAACGTCTACACGTAGCTCGCGCTGCTAGCAAGTGCTAGCACAAAGAACCGTTACGCACACTTGCTGCGTTGTCGAATGACCTACTGACTCGAAGCCATTTATGCAGACAGCTTGTGCCGTGAAAACAACTTAATAACATAGCGTGATTCGTATCACTTCTTCCCTTCTTGGTATGTCAACAAACGCAACATAAGTCACGCATCCACATGAGCAAAAACGATGCTACAGCAGTGCAACAATATACGAATAGCGTATTTCGTGTATCCAGACGCGTCAATGGACAGGTTGACATGGATGTAGGAACGGACAGCAACGCAGGATATGAGAGGATTGGTAAACAAATTTGGTTTCGAACAAACGTCAATGGCAAGACTGTTTTGTTTCAGTGGGACACTGGTTCCACATGCTCAATGGTTAGCTTAGATGGTTACGCAGACCTAGGATCACCTCCCTGCTCTCCAGTATGTATTCCGCTGCGCTCTTACGGCAATCAAGCACTCAAGGTGAGAGGGCAGTGTACCGTTGACGTCTCCATTGATAATGAGCAGAGGAAAAATCTGAAACTACTGGTCGTAGATATTCCTAAGGGAACAAACCTGTTCGGATTAGATTGGAGTGATGAGTTCGGACTCTCTCACCACGGACTGTCTGTGTTTAAGACGAAGCCGAACGACCAGGTTTTGCAAAACTGTTCTGTCGACACAGAATCACCTGAAAGCCAGAGCACGAATTTGAGTGAAAACCTAGCAGCTGACGTATATACACTTGCCAATAAGTACCCGGATGTGTTTAAGGAAGGACTGGAACATTGCATTAAACTGAGTAGCACTCCACCTCAAACCTGATGCTAAGCCAGCGTTCTTCAGGCCAAGAGATATTCCTTTCTCTCGGAAGCAAGCCACCAAGGAGGAGCTGGATCGGTTAGTCAAGGAAGGTGTCCTGGAGCATGTGGATTACAGCGAGTGGGCAGCACCCATTGTAGTAGTGTCAAAGCCATCTGGTGCAGTGCGTATCTGTGGTGATTTTAAGGCCTTGAATAAATGCATCCACGTAGACCAGCATCCCTTGCCAAAGCTGGATGAACTGCTTGAACGTCTGAAAGGGGGCAGACATTTTACCAAGATTGACCTTGCCGATGCGTATTTGCAACTGGAGCTAGAAGAAGAAGCTCAAGAGCTCTGTGTAATAAACACACCCTGGGGACTTTTCAAGTATACTCGGATGTGTTTTGGAATTGCAGCGAGTCCCGCGCAGTTCCAGCGTTGCATGGACTCGTTGATCGGGCAGCTTCCTGGTGTAGCTGCATACTTAGATGACCTCATCATTACGGGTCGTACGGAAGCAGAACACTGGGAGAATCTGGAAAATCTTTTGAACCGCCTTCAGGAGTTTGGCTTCCGGATTCGTTTGGAAAAGTGTGAATTTTTCAAGAAGTCGGTCGAGTACCTGGGACACGTAATAAGTAGCAATGGGATGACTCCATCTAAGTCATCAATTAAAGCTGTCGAACAGTTGCCACGTCCGAAAACTTGCCAAGAAATCCAAGCATTCATGGGGAAAATAAACTACTATGGCCGCTTCATAGCCGATCTGTCAGAGAAGGCTAGACCACTGTATGCCCTAATGCGGAAAAACGCAAAGTTTGAATGGAAGCAAGCTCAAGAAGAAGCTTTCCAACTGCTTAAGAGGGAAGTCATTGATGCAACACAGTTAACGCACTACGATGACTCTAAACCCCTAATCTTAGCAACTGATGCATCGCAGCATGGAATTGGAGCGGTGTTATTGCAATTGGACAAGGGAGTTGAATACCCTATTGCGCATGCATCAAAGACCCTGAACGAACATCAGGTAAAATATTCGCAGATAGAGAAAGAGGCTCTGTCAATCGTTTATGGGGTGACGAAGTTCAGACAATTCCTGTACGGCAGGAGATTCTCGCTGAAAACAGAACCCTAACCCTAACCCTAACCCTAACCCTAACCCTAACCCTAACCCAGACACAAGCCTCTGGTTGCCATATTATCTCCAGACAAGAACATTTCAGTGTTAGCAGCACAACGGCTTCAGCGTTGGGCAATTACGCTTATGCCCTATCAGTACGACATTTACTACAAGCCAAGTGCACAGCATGGTAATGCAGATGGTCTTTCGCGTTTACCGATGGGACCGGATGTTAGTTTCGATAAACAGGAGGAAGAAGAAAACATCGAAATTGCACACGCTATCATGGATGAGTTAGAAAGTTCTCCCTTAAAGGCGCAGGATGTCAAGGTCGAGCTGCACAAGGACTCTCGACTGAAGCAAGTTAAACGGCATATAGAGGATGGTTCCTGGCCGGAAAAACTCAAGGCGGACCAAACTCACCTGCGCCCATTCTGGAATCATAGGGACTCACTTTTCATGTTCAACGACATCATCTTGCTACAACGTGACACTTGCACTCGCATTGTGGTTCCGTTCTCACTGCGAAAGAAAGTACTGGATCTGTTACACACAGCACACTGGGGAGTGGTGCGAATGAAGCAAATGGCACGTCGTTATGTGTGGTGGCCAGGCATTAGCCATGATATTGAGAAACTCGTCAAGTGCTGCGAGCCGTGTCGTTTGTCAGCGAAACTGCCAAACAAAACGTTTCAAGAGTGGCCGAAAACAGAGAAACCATGGCAACGAGTTCACCTAGATTTTGCCGGCCCTTATAAGGGAAAGATGTGGTTAGTGTGCATTGATGCTCACTCGAAGTTTCCATATGTTGCCATCTTAAACATTGGTAAAACAACATCAGAGAATACAATCGATGTGTTGAAACAGATCTTCACAATAGAGGGATCTCCGGATACGATTGTAACCGACAACGGACCCCAGTTTGTTTCACGCGAGTTCGAGAAATTCTTTGTGCAGCTGGGCATTCGCCATATCACCTCGCCACCATATCACCCTGCGTCCAACGGCGAAGCAGAGCGTTTT